ACCTAAATGATTCTATGATTCTAAATCCCAGTACAAAATGGGTGTCATTTCTGGACCCAAGTGGATTGGTTGGGAAATAAGACATACGATGAACAGTAGGAAGAACACACACATGTAGAGCAGGATACAGGCCTGGTATGGATTTGGAAGCAGCTGAAGAGTGAGGATGCAGGATATGGAAATACAGAGGCAGCAGACCGGGTCAGAGTAAAGTTATGGGAGTTGAGGGGAAGCATCTCTTTTTAGCTGTTTTATCTATTTTTTTTTTAACTTCCAGGGATGACATAAGATCTAGCCTTCAGTCACTAAACCAAATGTCCTGTGTTGGCTTCCCACTCCTGCCACTAGAGACGTTGAGTTTCCATCATAGGAAACGGGCCAGACTTCTACAGAGTAAGGGGACACAGCATGCACCATCGTTCCTAGCGATGTCGTTAAAATTTCCACCATCAGGATTTACACTGGATTTACCTTTCTTCTGGTGTCTTAGACATTCTCCTGGTAAGTGCTGGGGACCCTTTTTTGCTTTTCGCTATATACTTATATTTTGGGTTTTGCTTTATCCAGTTTCTTAGAGCTTGATAGGCTTCTTGCTGGTGGCCAGTGTTAGTGTAACTCACAGCCAGGGCCATCAGGGCTTTTAGGTTGTTTGGCTGTAGCTCCAAGCACCTAGGCAGAAAATAAAAATACAATGAGGTATTTTCTTAGCCAAACACAATTCTTGGATTCTTCCAAAATAATCTGTGTAAAAAAAAGTAAATAAATCACTCACGCAAGTAACCAATAATACTTTTAAAGAAGGGACTTTGTGTTATTTTTCTGTGAGAAGTGTATTATGTGTGTGTATACGCACACGCCTGCACACTGCTGTGCATACACGCACATGTGCATAAATGTATCCATATAATTTTTGCTTTCATCCTTCTGGTTATGAGTAAATATAGGTAGATTCAAATGTATGTAAATCCAAGTGAACAGTTCAATATGGTTTGCAGTTACGCAAAAAAGTATTTTGAAGACAAAATTTCTTCCATCCTTATGAATCTTCTCAGTCATCCTGAATTCTCAGTTTTTCTTTGATAGTTGGAGCCAATCAACTTGAGTATATGGTTATATACCATTAACTGAAAGCAGAATCTAATCTATTTTGTGAACATCACTGCTACTCGTTTCAAAACTACAGAGATGAGCAAGCCCTAAATCGGGCAACCCCTTGGATTTCTATCCAGGTAAGCCGATAAGTTACATGTAAGTAAGTTAGAGTATCCTTAGGTGAGCGACTTGATGGACAACATTGCTACTGCTGTTGGATATGGAGAGGGTACTTGCTTCAAATGAAAACACGAAAACCCACTACAGAAAGATAATAATAATGCTGACATTTTGGAACTGACATTTTACATACAAGCATACTGTGATCTTCACACCTCTATCAATGTAAAAATGTGTCAGTTTAGTATTCAGCAGCTGATGGAGCTTGTTCCAATTAAGAAAACCTCTTCATTAAAGGAAAGAGTACAGAAAATATGCCAAGTGGCTAGAACATCAAAAAGACGCTATTTTAATTCATGTTTACCCGGCCACGTAACTTTTCTTTTGTGCAGCTACTTAAATTACTAGATTAAATACTGCACTTATTTAATAAAACAGAAACATTAATCACTAGTTATCCCTCTGAAGTCACTGAGAAGGTTTCTATATCTGTGTCAATGCTTTATATAGTTAAATATATGCTTCATGTTCTAAATGTGACGTTAAATATACCTCGTCCTTCATTACCTAATACTTATCAGACCCCTTATTTAACAATTACGTTCATCTACCTTTGGAGGGCGACAATGGCTGCTTGCTCATTTTCATTCTCTGCCTGTGTTATGCCCAGGAACTGCCAGGCCTGCAAAAATAATCATCATTGTGTTATTTTGTTACATATTCCCAGCGGCAAGCAGAGTTACAACGAATATCACTGTTAAGCAGCAGGATGAATAAAAATAGCAGCTCTGACCAGCACTACCTACAGATTTTTCTATGGCGTGCATACCCAGTTTTGAATACCTTTGTGCATGATAAAATTTATATTCAATGAACACAAAGGTATTCTGTCAGTGTATGATCACATGTTGATTTCATAAACTTGACTAACTGTACGTTTTAAATGTTGCTAGAATTTTATGAAAAACGGTAAAGAACAATTATTAAGTTGTACAGGTTGAAGGATTCTCTCTGCTTTTTGAAATACTGCTGCTTAATTTAATATAGTAATAGATTGAAAGAGATCTAGATACTCACATTGTAAATATTTTTCATGTTTCACAGGAAACAGACTTCAAATATATACTAATTGAACACATCAATATTGCAGAAATTTATATAATTTTAAAAAATTTGTTAATATTGTTAAATCAAAAATATTCACCTTTCAATAGCGGTGTTTAAAAGATAGGTTAAAAACATCAGGAAAAGAAGGAAAGGTTTGAAATCTTGTCTCTTTTGAATGCTTTTAAATGACAGCTTGGAAATTCTATAATTTCAAAAATAGATTCTCATGTTATGAAGAGCTCACCTTTATCTATTTCAAGGCATACACTTTTCCAGAAACACCATTAGTGTTCAATCTGTTTCAGTCAGTCATGACTAGCAAAGGTTTGGACCTTGAAAACATTCCATCATTGCATGCTAAAGGGAGTCCCTTTTTCCTTTATCAGTAAAAGGCACATGAGTGATGAATACCTCTGCATCATTGGGTTCTTGTAGAATAGCAGCCTCCAAGTACAAGATTGTAACTGGCAGGTCACCTTCTTTCATTTTTTTCAGTCCTTCCTCAAAAGCACCAGGCCAGTCTTTGAAGGGATTCTCAGTATGGAAATAATAACCCTGGAGAAGAGAGATAATGGTCTCACGATGAAGCACTGTAGCAAGGAATGGCAACTCTGTAAAATTGAATTACTTACTATTTTCTGCCTGGATGTAAACATCCCTTATTCTATGAAAACAGTATGAGCTTCCTCATGAAATGTCAATGACAAAAACTGTAAAAAAATCATCATCACTGGACATTTATATTTCTGCTCTCTTTATTTTCACTTTAGCTCTGAAGTTGTATTTACTGGTACTCATGTAGGGCTCTCCTGCTCCCATCAAAGATAATGGCAACAACTCACACTGGCTGCAGTAACAGCAGAACTGAACTAGCATGATCCCAGAACATCTGGTTTGATGGTAAAAACCGCACATCAAGCAGCTGACTCCCTGCAGTGCTTGTAACTCGATGTCTGTTCAGTTAACACCCTGAAATCTTCAATCAACCTTCAAGATACAGAACAATGTTGCAAGCACCGGAGTTTATTTTAGGTTTTCTTTAAGTTTTGCCTTTTTCTTCTCTTGCCCCTGCAGTGTAAAGGGTGTACTCTACTATCAGCTGCATAATACAAATCACAGTAAAGCGTACAATGGAGGGAATGAAGACAGACAGAATCTCTATCATTTGTATCTTCAACAGTGTTTTAAAGTGCCAGCCCAGATTTTTTTATTTGGTGCTCTTCCGTAAGTTCCCATCTTCAAAAGTGCCCATAATTCTGCAGTTTGCTTCGTGATCCTTTCAGCTGAATGCAGGCAGTGTGCGAGTCTAAATGTACTCTCACTATGGCAAGGTCTTTTAAATCTACCCTGCTCACAGACACTTAAAAGAGGATCGGCCCTTTTGGGTAAAATTAGCTTCCATGTCCAAAGAGTTTTCTTGGTTTCCCTTGAATAGCTGCGGCTCATCTCGAAGTTTCACAGGAAGGATGTATGGTATGAAAAATTCGTGTTACCTTCTCAATGGTTGAGATGGTGACGTGCCCTGGTGCTTCCTGGTTTTCTGAAATCCAGTTTCTGCGAGCCATTTCTTCCCATTCTGCTTGCATTTTATCCCAAAATTCTGTATCTGACTAGAAGAAAACAAGGAAAAAAGGGAAGAAAATTAACAAAACTTTAAAATAAAATGGTAAGCTTTTAATTTCTTTCTATCAGGAGTCTGAGTCTGGCAATTTTGCTGAGCAGTATTAATTCTATTAATGAAATATTACAGCACAAATTTGGAATTCCAGATAATTAAATTTTATCTCTTATATTGGAATGCATTTTGTCAACAGAAAACTCTTTATCTCAGAGGCAGCGTATGTTCTATTTGAAGCAGGATTTGCAGCAGCTTACACTGCGTCTTATTGATGCTAGCAGCAAATTGTTACATACAATTTGAAGGAAATGAATGCTGCTAGTCCCTGGCCAAAAAAAAGAAAAAAAAAATCAACTAAGCAAACATGCTAAAGAATAACAATAAATTAAAAAAAATAAAAGAGAACAAGCATCCTACTTTGGTATATTCAGCATCATTTTCAACTATGCAAAAGAGTAACAGCAAAGCTTAGACAAAGTGTTCGCACGAGAGAATTAATACAAATGGGGCTTTCTGATGTAGTGGAGAAATCCTAATACTGCATCATATACTGTGCTGGTGAGAGGAATCTACAAGAGATATAAAGTTGTACAGCAAGATTAACATTCAGCTCAAAGACAAGGGAAAAATGCATATACTAGAGAAACACAAATGATGGGAAAAAAAGATATTTAGGATGTGTGAGAACCAGAGTGAGGGAACCACTGTGACTACTAGAACATGATACCAAGAAACAGAAAAAGGATTAAAATAAAAAGAGAGAATCCAAGTAAAGGTGCTTTTTTTTCAGCCTCCACAAGTTAGTTGTAAACCTTGAAAAGCAGTTCCATAACAGAACATATGCTCAGCACTATGAATCTTTGCAAAGTTCTCCAGTTCCTACAAGGTCAAGGTCAGAACTTCAGTCAAGTGTCAGTACTGAGGGCACAGTTTCTCAGTTTATTTATGCCAAAGACAACTGCATAAATAATTCTGTTGAGGTTTAAACCAAACTATTTGAGAGTAAGGTGCTACTCAAAATTAATTGAAGGTATTATAAACTGGTCCAGATAATTTTGTCTGAATCTTCATTACAAGACTGACTGCTGTGCTACTGCTCCACAGCCAGGCATGATTTGCAGAAATAGAGCTTAGTCTGTGATTGCGTGACTTGCTACAACCATCCTTCATAGGCACTTGGGAAAAGGAAAGCACGGATATTAACACCCCTAGAATGAGTTGGCAATGAGAACATTTGAGACTGGGTGTGAAGGCTTAGGAGGACTTGCACTGGCTGATGCGCCGAGCTGCTGTAAATCATAGGGTCTTCATCAATGGCAATTTTCCCTGTCTAGACATCTAACGGGCGTATGTCTTTGGCTCTTACTGTAACATGTGGCTCCTGATATCCAGAACTTTCTTCCAGGAGACTCAGAATTGGCTGAATTATGCAATTATTGGATCTGTGAAGGTGCCTGCTATGTTCCTCTGTGGACTAGGAAAGAAATGTGAATCATTCACTCCTGGAGAAGACATTTCACTCTTTATAATAGAAGCAAACAGAACATGACAACTCTGTTATGCAACAACTTCCGAGGTTTCAAAATTTGCTTTCATTCCAGATCTGAAGGAAATACAATCTTTTAAATAGTTGTGGGATTGTGCTGAAATGTCCATTTAGAGTTCGAGAAGGTTAGGATAATGAATCAGATCGCTGCTGCTTTTACTCTTTATCAGCCGTGACCAGAAGCACTTGAGTCCCTTAAACTCTCCTGTTCAACAAATGTCTCTGTCAACTGTTCTGCATTCAGTGCAAGTCCGCACTGCATTGAAGAAAGAATTACTTGACCATGTTTTTACTAGCAGTAATTTTGAGATTCAGGATGAGGTAAAGGAGTGGAAATTTTCCTTTCTTACAGATTCATATTAATAAAACTACTTAAAAGTTTAAAAGAGTTTATATTAGGAATTTTGCTTGTATTTTCCCCCCAAAGATCCCTTATGAGTCAAAGGTTTGGAAACATATCAAATCACATTTCTACAGATCATAAGCAAGCGTATAAGTGGTTTTAGATGTGAAGTTCAAATTCTGCTGCTTAATTATGTATTTATAATTCACACAGCAGTTCATTGTGTGTGCACTCCCCTTAATAAGCTAATGAATTACTACACATTCAAGTAGCCGTGCTTAATATCCATCTATAGTGAGTCAAAGGTGGGGGGAAAATGTAATGGGGAGAAGACTTGCTTTACTATAGAGTCTCTCAGCTCATCATATGCTACTTGGACACGGGCCAGGACCCAACTGTTGTTTTGCAACTATAAGCAAAGATTTCCTTTTTGGGGCCAAATGGGCTTAAGTCCCAGCTACAGCTTTCTCAGCATATCCAGCATGTGGGGTTTCCGAAACTGATATGGCAAAGCTACACTGAGCAACTGGATCGTGCACAATCATGGAACCTGATCTTGCCGTGACAAACGACAATGCCAATAGCAGAGCTGTTTAATGTCCTTGAGGAAGAGGACCATAAATATTACACAGTCTTTGTTAAAGGCCTAAGTCTGTTTCAGCCGTTGTCAGTAGCAATTCTTTTGTTGACTTCGGTGGCAGGAGGGTTAAATTAATATTGAGTGTTTCTGAAAATGTGACTTTGGATCAAGACTCCTAGATCTAATTGTAACTCTCTTGGCTATGTGACTGGTGCCAATTACTTCATTTCGGTGTTTTTGCCACCTTAATGCTGGTGAATTACTTTGAACATACCAAAAGTTTTCAGACCAGTTGAACATATTTAACACGTTCTCAGATCATATGCAGCAGTTCAGTGGAATGACAACCAGGAAAAATGTTCATCCCATCTGATTATTTCCAAGCAGAATATTCTGTATTTTGTCAAAGAGGCTATTTTTACTCTTAGTATTTAAAAATATGCTGAAGCAGTTAAACAAATGGGAGGCAAAATATTTCCAGGCTCTTTACTTCCTATGATACAGTGAAGGGAGGTGGGGTGTACTTACTTTCTGAACACTGTTGGCCAATTTCTAGGCTTACCTATTTTTATAAGTTTAAGAATAGAATTTTGCTTGCCCTGTACTGCCAAAAATTAATTTGCAATGTTCCTTCTTAACCAATGTATAAGAAACAAAGGTTCTGTGGTTGAATTACTTTGCATTACTGCATCAACAAACTCTTCCATATGAAAGACACAGTAAGTTAAACTTATGTGCTAACTGCATAAGATTTCCTTAGCTGATATCTCCTCAAAACAAAATCAAATGTATGCCTTTTTAGTGAAGTTTAGAGATTAAAAAATGTATATCAAAGCAAAGATTCCCATTGTGATTTTAGAGACTACCAAATAAAATGCATCTGAATGACTCAAGCCCCTAGATCCCAATTTAAAATGTGGTTTAGGCAGTCTTAGGCACATCCAAAAGGGACATTGAACTAATGAGACAGGAATACCATAGGTACAGAAAGGATTCTAAGTGATATTCATGGAAGCCACAAAGCTGATGATTCTGGACTATGTTTTCCTAGGCAAGAATAAATTAATCCTGTCTTCTTCCTGCTATTGTCACATAATTTAGCTGTAATATGTTATGATGCTTCATAACAGTATATTATACAGCAGATGGCTTGTGTGACATGGTGTTGTAAATAAAATAGCTCTGAGAAGGACAGCTCAAAATTTCTTTGATGTAATCTCACAAAACAGTGTGGCAGCTGCAGTTCAATCACTACATCAGGGAAACGTGGAATAAGAAAATATCAAAATTGCTTTTTTTTCCATCTCTGAGACATTTCTCAGTTGGAAGTTTTTGCACTTTCTTGGTTTCATTCATAGGATGGCAGATGATAAAACAATTGTTTTAACAGAATATAGGTACAGGACGGATCTGAATCCCCATGCTGGAATTTTTTAAAAATTCAAAAGTACCAATTTTTGGTAAAACACAGCTAATTATTAGAAAGATTACATTAAATCATATTTGGTATGGCACTTGGAAATCATGAAGACTTTAGGCTATTTGTGCTTCCTTCATGTGTGTAGGAAAGGGATGAGGCAAAAATCAAATCCAATTTTCAGAATGACAGAATAGGTAGCCAAGTCTGCAAGCACCCAATCACTACAAGTGAATCTGGATCCTCTCTAGGAAAAAAGCTAATTTACTTACCTCTATTCTTAAAAGATTCCCCAATGGCATAGACATCTTTAAACCTTCTTAAGAAAGAATTACCTCACAGATCTTCATTAATCTCAAAGTTTGACATCTTAAAACCATTCCCAAAGCTCTAAAGTGAATACTAGATGGAGGATAAAGTTTGGTGTCTTCATTTACTGAACTGTTAATTAATTCCTGTTGAAGTAGGCCACGAAGAACCCGAGATTTGCTTCCTTTTCTTGATCAGTTTTCTGTCTAATCTTACCGCTTGGAGCTTTCCCAGTTGAAGAATATTACAGGAACATCCAAAGCCTAAAAGATGGATTTTTGAACTGTATCTATTCTCCGCTTAAGAAAGCAGTAATCTTTCTGAGATGGGCTGCAATTTATTTCAATCACTCCAGCTTTCTTACCACTTCATTTTATCGAGGATGAAAATTCAACTCTTTTCATATGCAAATGGAAATAACTGCTCTGTAAGGTCCTGAAGAATCCTTTCCTTTACATTTTAACTACCTGGTCCAAGTTGCTGTTTTAAGCAGAAAAAATAAGACTGCCAGCTACACAGTTAGGGAAATATTTAATTAGATTCTTCTTAATAGCTGTTTTTGAGACTACATTCAAGCATTTTAATAATCTGTCTTTGTTGCCTCAGGATGACCTTTTAATGTGCAAGGATTTTTTTACAATATATTCTCCTCCTTACTTTACCCTGTAAAGTAATTCAGTAATGTCTTGTAATCGGTTGTTGGCCTCAGCTAAATTTTCTTTCTGCTGAATGTCTAGGAACTCCCCATCACACATGGTTTCTGGCAGCCGCAAGAATACTGACACCAGTTGCTTAACCACTAACCGTAACACAGAGATGTTCATCAGCAGATTCCCTGTGTCACAATCACAGATGACAGCACAACATGCCCCACCTTAACAATCGGTCTGCAGTGCAATTAGGAACATCTCGAGCATTTTAAGCAATGGCAATTTGAAAGAGATTTCCTTACCTGCCACGAGTGAATGTGTATGATGTGTGACATCAAAAAATCTATTGTGTGTCACCAGTTTTTTATAAAGAATCTATTTGATCAGGAAAAAACAATGCACTCAGAAATATGAGAAAAATGCATTCAGTGTATAGTTTATAAAGCAGATAACTTACTGATTGTGTCCATCTTAGCCTTGTATGCTGAGATAAGAATTTTTTTGTGTGCAATAAGATCCTAAGAAACCATGGTCAAAACCATGCAGTCTTACCTTAGCATATTGTGAAAAAACCCTACAAATCAAATTAATTTCTTAAGTAAGAAATTCTGTTTCTAGCAAGAAGCCAGCATATGATTTATGCCTAGGTTTGTTTGTAGTCAACCATTATTAATCTAGAATAGTTCAAATGCCAACAGTGGAATTACAACGGTATAAAACTTGAGTTAGAGGAATATTAAAATACAGACAGTAAAAGTTAAATCTAACCCCAAATATCCCTAAAGAGATCTAGATGTTTGGAGACTAGTGAGACTGCAGTTCATGCTAAAAATAACCAGTTTTGAGGAACTGGTTTCACAGCCTCATCCTTTCCACCCTAAAAACTCATTTCAGCGACTGTTACATAATTCAGCCTGAACTTTTGTCCTCAGTGGGATGCAGCTGTCTTGGCTCTTCATGATGATGGGATTTTGAAGGGTTACTGACTGAACCTGTGAGAAGATATGATGCTCAAGATCAATGCTTGTATCTAATTTTTTACTGGGGGGATTCTGTTAAAAAAAACGTATGCCACCTTTTCTCTAGACAGGATCAGGATTTCAACTGGGACTAGTGGTATAGGACAACACTTAAAAGGCATTTTTCGTGTTGGAAAAGTAGTAGTTAGTGAAAAAAACAGAAGTGCAATAGGAGAACTGTCCAAATACCTATGTCTTTTCAAAATAAATTGGTTTACCAGGAAATGAGAATACTCCTGTGTTTAACAGTCTGCCAGTAATTATAAAAATGCATTGGTTCATGGTTACTGCTCTGCGTGCAGTTACCTATTGCAGCAGGTAACCGTTCTGTTTATCAGTGGTTCTGAATTTCAGTTTCACTGTGGAGAATTGGTTTGTGTCTGAGCTTAAATAACTGATTGCACAAATTCAGTTGCTGGGAAAAATATGCTTCACTCTTATATCTTCAGTTTTGAAGTACTTACATTTATGGGGAATTTTTCTTGACCCACTTGCTATAGCAATACAAAATTAAGCATGAAAAGTTGGTTCTGTCTAATCTTCATTTATAGCTAAGGTTACTATTTCTTAAGAGAGAAACTGCTATTTTAAATGAGTAACTCCAGGAAATGTATCTTTTCTCTACCTTAAGTAATCCAGTTCCAACTTTCTCCTGTACTTGTCCTTCAAGATGAATAAGAAATCCATAGAATATTGCTGAAAATGAAAACAGTAAATGAAGTAATACCTCAACAGCTGCCTTTGCTCTTTCAAATTCCTCCTCCAAGGAGTGATTTCTGGAGAGAAGAGGCCCTCCCCAACGCTGCTCCTTCATTGATCGTGCCTGAAAAATAAAATAAATCAGAAAGGGATGATATAGTCTTTGCCACATTTCTGAGTTATTTCCTGAATTGCCTAGAGCCCCGAATGGCCTTTTTCTTGGGCAAAACTAGTTGTGTCCCTGCATGAATTCTTCCGAATTCACTTACACTGTAGCAGAGATCATTCCTCATGGGAAGCAGAGTAATTTATCTTTTCCAGACTTTTCTTTTCACTCCAGATGTGTGAAAGATAAAATGACATCCAAGAAAAGACAATGCAAGAGTTGGGCTACAAAGGGAAGAGCTGACTATTTTGTATAAGACTTTTACCATAATTGTTCCTGCTCCTGTGTAATGACTGTGGCAACACATTCCACTCACTGTGCTCTGGGAAGAAAGCATCTCATTTTCCCTGTACATGTGTTTTTCTTTCATGTTCTGTTTTGGGATCACATTGGAGAGCCAGGTTTGCTATGGATTTCGCTGGAAGGACAAATCTTTTTTACAATCAGCAACTCTCTACTCTGTGCCTTACTATCAGTCAATCCCATTGGAAGTACATAACAAGCTTCTCCCTGTTCTTTTATTAAAAACAGTTTGTTTGGTTTTTTTTTTTTTTTGTGCTAAAGGCACAGTACAAAACCAAACAGTATTCAATGATGGCATAGAAAAGCACAAAGTGGCCTCATCTTGCTAAATAGAGCTCTGACTGCTAATCCTTTCCCTCGTGTTTGTCAGAGGTTAAACTCATTAGCCATTTGCCTGACCGTGGTCCCAATTGCATTAATTTATGTGATTATATTTCTGATGACTGTACTTGTAATGTTCAGTTTCAATGAGCCACATTGTCACAGGACTAATTTTGCTCACTTCAGACTCATTGGGCTGTATCTGAAAATGTTGGAATGTGCACTGCTGGAGTGAAACACCCAAAACGTTCCTGGGTGTTCATATAAATAATGTGCAATGCATGGTCAAACATGTATGTCTGCTTGTGTATACAGATGTTTTTTTACCTAAAAAGATGATGTTCATCTATCAATCTAGCCCTCAAGTTTCTGTTTTGTTCCTGAATCTTTGGTCTGTCAGGTGGAGATTGATGAGTGAAATGTTTATTGGGTCGATGATACACATACAGTTAGAAAAGAACGATACAGCACAATTTCTGTTAGGTGCACATGGTGGTGGGGGCACTGTGTGAATTCATCTGTGGTGTTTTCTGGACTTTGCTGCAAGTGACAGGAAGCACAGAGCATGAGGGAAGGTCTACACTGTGGATCTATTTTTTCTGTTTTCACATCTGCTACCTCTGGTCCATGTTGTTTGGAAAATATGTTTTTTCTTTGGTAAGGCCAGGAAAAGATTTCAAGTTGTCATTGAAAACATATCAAAACCCAATCCTATACACTCAACAGTTATTTTACTGATTCATAGACTTTAGAGTGAAGAGATAACTGGTTCATATTGTCTGTTTGTCTGTATTTCACATGACAGTGTTTGTCACTCAACATCCATAGGATGAAACTTGACGTTCCACAGAGAATAAACTGAGGTTGTCTGGAATGTATGTCTTTGAGGAAGGTGCTTGGATTTAATTTAAAGTTATCAAGAGACCTTAATCTTATCACTTTGTTTGCAATTTTTGTTTAATTGTCCTCCTTGTTTCTCGTATTAATTTTAATTTCTGTTTCCAACTATCACTTCTTTTTCTAGTAGTTTAAAGCACTTTTTAGTGCCCTCATTTTCTCTGTGGAAAGATACTGATGACTTTAATCAGGTTTTAATTGTCTTTTAGATGATATAAAGAGATTGATATCTTAAATTCTCTCATTATGAGGCATTTTGTGCAGATTTCAACCTTTTTTGTGTCTCTTAACTCTCTTTATTTCTTTTATAGCCATACAGTCAATCAAAGTGAACCCTGTATTCCAGTACCTGTTTTGCTGTTTCTCTATACAGAAATCAGGTGATTTCCTATCTCCCACTAATTATGTCTGCTTCTACACACTCTTCTTGCCACAGTACTGCACAGGGAGCACTCACGTTGACATCCTCGTACACTCTGAGCCATACATTCTTTTCAAACTGCCTTCCAGCACGGCTTTGTAAGTAGAGCCTGCATTCGTGTTCTGAAAGGTTTGATTTTTCAAGCCACTATATTGGAACATGTATTTAGACAGATGTCTTGGTCACCAGCTCATTTTTATGACTCCCTTGTTTACATTTTTTTCATTCCACTGTTGCATCATATGCAAATTTTATCAGGAATGGTTTGTATATTTATTTTCAGATCAATAATATTGAAGATCAGCATTTCTCTCTGGAATCACAAAAGAACCCCCATGTGATTACAATTCCTAGTAAATAACTACTGTTCTTGAGAACTTAAGTTAGCCAGTTTTAAGCTATTTAACAGCTGCTTTATTCATATTGTGTGGTGGTAATTTTAAAATCAGAATATGATATGTTAATTCAAACATCTTGCAGAATATCACACAGCAACATTTATGAATCCGACCTGTAATCTGATCAAAGAAATAAATTTGGTTTTCTTGACACAGAACTCTGTTGATAGACACTAATTTTGTTCCTAGCCTTTTCATTATTTATGAGTTGGCTCTTGCAAACTGTTTGATTACTTCTGCTTTTTAATCTTTGTTTCCAGTGACTGCAGTTTCCTTAGGTCAAGGACAATACTGTTACTCATGATGTTCAGGCTGAGTAGTGCTGCAGAAGGGGAGAGTGAGCTTGTTGGGACATTAGAGAGGTGAGTGGGAAGCGGACAAGAAGCACAGAAGTGTCCTCTTCTGCCATGTGTCAGAGTATACACGTTGTCCCCATATAATCCCCACAGAAATATACCTTCTCCTCCATGAAATGCACACCTGCCCTCAACTAGAGGGAAAAAGAAGTAATTAACAAAACCTGTATAAGCTGCATTTACATATAGATTATGCAGAGTCATATTCTGAGTTGTGCTACCAGCAATTAAAGACCCCACATATAACAAACATGCTGCCTTTTGCTAGTGCAGGAATAGAGGGGATGGGAATGGAGTGCCAGCACTGGAGAACTTCTCATCTCCAGCTGGTGATAGGGTGGGACTCTGCAGCTGCCTCCCTTACGGGAAGCCCAAGGCAGGGTATGGGTCAGGGTGGAATGGGTATGTCTGAGGCATGGACACTCTGCATATGCTGGGGTTTGATATGCTCACCACTCTACAAGGGAGGTGCTGTAGCTGATCACTGGCTGCTGTCTTCAGGGACAAAATCTTCCATTCCAATGCATTTGAACACACTTTCCTGCGCTTGTAGTCTGCTTATGTGCTGTTGGACCTTAACTGTTGGTGAGAGGCTTAAATTACAGTCTTAATTTTTGAGCAGGTCTTCAAATAATGAGCTAAATCTGTCCATTGTAACTCTTCGTGTCATTAGAGTACCTGGCACATCCAAGGAGAGCTGGGGCCATTTGTCTTACTGCAGCTATTTGGGAGAAGTGGGGAACAAATTTTCCATTTTAAATGTTATTGCCCCAAACTGCAGATTTCTAAGATTTACAGGCTTTGTGCTATATATTTGTCTGAGAGTGCTAACATATTGGAATTAGGTACGGTGTTTTAGCATGTCAGGATTTTTGTGTATGCATTTTGAGTGAGCAATAAAATATCTAAAATGCCCAGGGAGGCCCAAGTATGAAACTGCATTTAGAGAGTTAAAACGTGAGCAGACTTTGTGCATATATGACTGAACATATTATCTCCCTTTGCAATTTGTAATTGTAAGAGAAAAAATAGACCTTCAAAAACCCCCAAACACTGTAGGATATCTCGGTATTAATAAAAGCATAACAAGGAATGTTCCAGAATGGCAGATAAGAGAAAGAACAAAGATACTTTGGGCCAGTGCAGTTGAAGAGTTAATGACAGGTGACATGTGGTGTGAGTAGACTACTGAGAAGCAAGATGGCCACATCCAATGAAAGCCACCATGCTATTGGCCATTCCAGCCTTCAAGCCCATTTCTTCCTTATTCATTCAAAGCTTGCCTTCATGGTTTTATATCGGCAAGTGCTGGTAAACATAGGATTTTGTGTAGAAGATTGCATAATTTTAGTGAAAATATGACCTAGTTACTTAGTATTTCACTTTAGGGAACTAACTCTAACGTATCAAAGATGAGTGATGAAGGTGTTTGAGAAATTGCTGATGGAAAACTGCAGCAAATTTGACAAGATGAAATCTTTAGGGTATGGCAGAATCTGTTGCATATGCAAAGGTTACCCTTAAATGAGATAGACAAAATCCATAGAGGACAAAGTATGGAAAACATATGCTTTGATAAAAGTTCTAACGTGATTTCTTTTACAAGCAGACTAAGAACTCAGTCAAGACAGACGAGCCTGTTTGTTGGGAACTGACAACTTTGACAGTCCAAGTATAAGCAGGACAAAGCAGGCAGTGAGTGAAAATACTAAATTTCTAAGTAAACCACCTGCAATAAGAACACAATTTCCCTTCAGGTCATTTCTCTGCACTACTAATTACCAGTTCAACAACGTTTCAATGAATCACAAGTTTGAAAAAAAGCATGAAATATACCAGAACAATAGATTAGAATTTTATACTCTGCTTCTCTTTCAAGTTACCTGATTCAACTTTTTTTCTTCTATTTTGAAATATCAGTCATTTTACAAAATAGTATGGAGCCTCAACAGGCCCAACTTACATTGAATTCAAAAAGTGGATTTTTGCTTCTTCTGTTATACTAGCAGAAGATAAACGGCAAGTAGACCATATAAAGCAGAAATGTTATATACTATCGCTCTTACGGAAAGCCACAGCACTTAAATTCTGTGACTGCCTATTTGGTTCACACACATCTTCATGGCATAAGATGAGCACAAACTTCATGGTATTTAGATCTATTAGGCTGAGGAACAGCATCCTAAAAAGGGGTTAGAGGTACTTAAACTGGACAAAGCATGTGAAACACACTGTTCATCTCAAGTGATGATATTATGCAATAGATCTTTCCCATTAGTAAGATGTATAAACGTGTTGCACAGAAAGGAAAGATATTGTGGGTTACAGTTAGTGTTAGGCTTTCCAAAGGAAAAAAAAATCCTGTTTGTAATGTAGAGATGACAGGGAATTAAAGGAGACTTTATTCCTAACCAAAACACAGGAGTGGGTCCTGATAACTGAGTTCTATTTCTATTTTCTGCAAAAACTGGTGCATAGTCTTAGGAAAGACATTGGGCATTTTGGTGTCTCATTTTTCCATTTTGAAGTGAAGCTATTATTTTCCATTAATTTCCAGCTTTTTGCATCTGATAGAAAGGTTTTGAAGTCCAGGCCTAAAAATAACTGTGGAAGAGGAGAAAATTATTTTCAACTAAAAGTTAATCCACTAAACTCTCTCCCCACTGCCAGTGACATTTGCTGAACTTGAAATCTTTCAGTTAAAAAATAAAAAGCAGGAAATTAAATATATAAGCAACCTGATCTATGTGACTGCATATATAAATGTACGTTTGTACGTATATATGCATACATACATATCTAAAACCATACAGCTCTAAGTAATCATTTCCATAAGGTCTTGTCCAATATACAATATGACAGTGAAACTGGGTAAATCTACAAACCCTCTGTATTAGAGTTCCTTTTCCAGCAGGAAAAAGTCCTTTGACCACTCTGTTCTCCCACCTGTCGAGATAAACTGCTAATGAACATTGGTCTAGTGATTCCTTTTTGTATTCCTTAGCTGTATCCCAATTCTGGGGATTCCTGGTTGACCGAGAGACCTTGAGAATAGACACGGTACAGGGAGAGGGAACGATAAGAAATTTGAATTTCAGAACTGGAGGAAGGGAGAAAAGATGATGCTGTGAATTGCAGTTTGAAGTCTTTCTCTCTGTACTGGGAGGTCACAGTTCACTGCAGTATTAAACTCTGAGTGTTGGAAATGCTGACTTAGTGAAGTTTCGTAACATATTAATCTGGAAGCTGCATGAAGGTTTGGCTGTATGAATCTTTTAACCGATGATCCTGTAAATATCCCTTAAATAGTTCTTCCAGAATGTGAACAGTTAGCCAGTGGGACAATTCCTACTTGCCTTTTTATTAATAAGTCTACCAAATCCTCTTACCTGTGTTGCAGGTGCAAGGTCTAATTCTGACGTTGTATCAGCATCCAAGGCACTCTTGACGTTGGTCAGCTCGGACTGTGATCTGTTTTCTGTGGACCTAGAAATAATGCACTTACACACTCATCACTGCACACTCACATGCTGCCTTTAGTCTTTCAGCTTCAAGAGCATATATTGATTAATTAGGTTATTTCTTTTAACTGAATTCTCTGATTTGAAGTTTTCAAAAGTGCCTGGACCCTTCTCAGTGTTCCCACTCTTACACTTTTCAGTCCCATGCAGACAATAGTTAATACAACAGAAGAGATTCAGGCCTGATTCCTCAGCAGAGCCCTGGGTGTGTATTGGCATGAAACTAGTGTAATGTGCTGGAGATTTTGCCTCTACCAGTATGCTTCTGTTTCATATGCAGGCAAAACGAGGTCAGGCAGTGACACGACTGTACCTGCAGTCAGTGTCTGAGAATCAACCACCTCGTTACAGAACTTCACCTTGGCATATGTACATTTTTGTGCCACAATAGCCTAATATTCTTCCTTCCTAGAAAATGAAACCCTGTAGACCAAAATCAAGTTAACTGAGCAAAACTTGTTGTCATGGTTTGATGTGGAGGGGGTTCTGGTGGCAGGAGACTTGTGTAAAGCTCTAAGTTAGTGAAACACTCAGACAAAGGGCAGGTTAAGATACCGGAAAAAGCATAATTTGGTCAGAAAACTGCTTCTAGTGTATTAAAATGCTAATTATGGTCGTGCATAATGTAGGCAATGAGTGTTGCTTACATGTCAAGAAGGCAGAAGAATTAATCTGCATGAACTGTCGCCAAAGGCAAAGTCCAGTTCTTCCCTCATTTACAACCCTTGCCATTTTAGCTGAACTGCATGAAGGAGGTAGTACTTGGCTTGGATATTTTTTCTTGTCTTTTCCAGTTATCCACAGAAATTCTGCTCTCTTGGTAGCAAAACCAAAATACACTGGCTATCTAGTGACTGTCAAATTACTGTCAAGTATCTTTTTTTACACATTTCCCTCACACATTTGTAGTTGGTTCTGGATCACTGCATGCCTCTGTAGAATTCTCACCACCATTTATTTAGTAATTGCACCTCCTACTTTTCACAACATTAAAAATTGCTGGCAAAATGTCGTTTTATAGTTTACTTGGTTATGGTACATTTTCCAAAATGTCTGCTTGAACACATTTAATGTAATCATAACAGATTGAATAATACGACTTGTCATCAAGTGAGCATTTCTGTGAATTAAGAGAGCTGGACTGGAAATATTTTTGTAAGGAAAGCAAAAAGTTGTACCATAAAAGCTCTTTTGATGGAGCTCTAGATGATGATGATGATGATGTTCGCTCTGTAGAAGGGTGGACCTTGCTGCTCCTGTCTCCGTGATAATTGACGTCATCCCATTTCTCTATCTGTGTCTGAATATCAACTGAAAAATAAGAAAAGAAAATACAAATCTTTTAATGAAACTACTGCAGAATATTTTTTTCTTCTCCATTAAATGTAGGTTTTAGGGAAAATGGTGCCACTAAAGACCATAATTTAGTTAAGGTCCAATATACAGAAATGTTGTGCACCTTTCTAGCTGATATTCTGAGAAAATATTTGGGAATTCACAACATTTTTCTAAATCTGCTAACATTCCTGGTCAGAATATCAGTGGAACTCAAATCAGTGATTTGTGTGTAATTTAGATCTGTTGATAAAATTATACTATTTGATAGTTTTGGGGTTTTTTATTTTCTAATTGTAGTCAAACTGTAAAAATAAAACTTCTTTTAGTGACTACCATTTAAAAATGACTGTGTAGGCAACTGATATTATTCAGCCATACGTCAGACTTCCTTTGCAAAGATCAGATGTTCAGCTCCTGTTTGAAGATAAAGTTCTCTAAAGGAATTTCTGCGCTGATGAATGGAAAATTTACTAGCTTGGAATAAATTACATTTACCTTGCAAATTTCTCAGTTGCAGTGCAAGTAATTTAGTTTGGATGGAACTAAATTAAATTCACCTTTTCCAAAGCTCATCTATAGATCACACTTGGCAGGATATTGAGTTGTGTTAGGGCTTTTTTTTTCCCCATCTGTGCAAATATAGCTCTTTTGTCAAGATTTTTTTTTGCTCTCTTGTGCATAGATAAAGCAGTGTTTACAAATATCGTGTGTGTTTCTGTTGTCTGCAGTTCTGAAAAAGACATCAGTGTGGGCTGCCTCTGATTTGTGTCCTTTACCAGTTTCTCATGATACACCTATAGATTTTTCTACCATTTTACTGACCCTCACTACATTCTTTTTTGAAAGCATCCTGTCAAAACTTTATTTGCACATTTAGTGGCAAATGTGCTTACAGTGACAAAGTGTTTCAAGTAGTTTATAATGTGGAAAAAAGGTTACACTCCCTGCTAAAATCCTGGTGTTGCTTGTTATTTTGTGATAGTAGCAAGGAGAAACTTGTACTAAGCAGGGCTAGGTAGCACTGATAAAACAGCTACACTCTTACCTAAATCTAATGAAGACTTGTCTGAAACTCTGACAGTCTGGACTTTCTCAGTATCCACACTGATAAGGTCAGAATTGTCTGTCTTCTTTCTGTGGGTTGAAGCTTTTAAGCCTTCACTTCTCGATGGATTCTCTGATTTCTTTGCTTTGTTTTGGGTTTGTGAGACAGGTTCACTAAGATCCAAGAGATCCAGACCTGTTGATAGTACTTAGAGACAAAATGTTAGAATTCAGTGTTGTTTTAATTCAAATAGCTCACTTTTAAAATTTTAATTGGGGAAAAAAAATTGCTCATGTATTTGCGTTTGCCTAGAGTAGATGTATATGTCCTGGCGAAGGATGATGACCAGTATATTCAAATATGACTAGGGATTTCAGGTGCTTAACTGGATGCAGTTTTAAAAAGCTTGATTTGCATAGAAGGCTTCTCCTCTGAAAATCTTAAAGACATCTTAAGTCTTCAGGCTGTGGCCTTACTCCAAAGATTTTCTTATGTTGTGAGGGTTCCCTGTACAATTGAGCTTTTAGATAAGGTTTGATTCAATCTTATGATTTATCAAGTACTAGCAACAGCTGTGTAGGGCACTGCTCTTGTGCCACATGCCATTACAGAAAAAGCCAAAGAGTGGACAGCTTCTTGGATGGACTCCTTGGTTCATAAAGGAATAATGGTAAACTTAGTAATGGTTTCTACTGTTGTTGCTGTTTGCCTTTGGGGGATAAATATTGGATATAATTATAAATTCTACTGCTGTTTCTATTAAGGACTATATCAGTACAAAAGCCATGTTCAGTCTGAGTTCTTAATTTAAAAGTTGCTTAGAGAGTATCATTTAAAATTCTTTAGCACATAAAAGATAGAAAACCTCCCTTTTTATCATTGTTTTATAGGGCGGGTGGTTTTGACAGATCGATTTGTATTATCTCTTGCAGTGCTTTATCTACATTCTTGCTAAATCACTAAATTTCATCAATCTTCATCAAATAAGAAATTTTATTTTGTTATTAAATAAATCTAATTAACCCCCCCCAATCTGATGATAGATATTCAAGGCAGGTATAGGATCTACAGATACTTACTTTTTTTACAGCAAACACCACTCTTAAACAACCTGAAATATTTCTATTCATTCCTATAATATCTTTAGCTATATCTAAAAGGAAAAAATATTATTTACAATTGTTACTTAATTTAGTATTCCAATTTTTGTTATTAGAATTTGCATATTGCTTTAGACACATATTAATTAGATGTGAACATAATAACTCAGCTGTTAATTATTCATTTTGATGATTTGCATGTATATAGTTTTTAATTAAATGGCTTGTAAGAAGCTAAATCATTTTATGAGATAACAATAGAACACAGTAGTGCTATGCTGGTTTTATTATATCTCAGTTGATCTGCTCAACTTGCTTTGATTACTTTTGCACAAATGGTGAATAGGAGGAGACTAATTTCTAAAAACACTTCCAAAGGAAAATATACTTCAAATATAATTCAATACAATTCAAAAGGCTTTCAGGATTCACTCTTACGTTTTATTATCTGCTCTGCTATCTCACTGCAACACAAAAGAGCTAAGAAACGTGTTAGATCATGTCACTAATGAAGTGTCCAAACTCAGCGTGGATAAACAGTTTTGATATCTATTCCCTTTTCTCTGACATCCTATCCAAATTTTTATTAAGGAAAATCTTCCTAGAGCAAGTAGTGGTTTTTATTAAAACCAGACTAAAGGTGGCTTAGCCATAGGTTAAAATTTTGCAAAAATAAAGATTGAGAATCAGTCAAACTGATGTGTACTTCCTGTTAAAGAAGTTCCCTTTAATTCAGCCCCAGAGAAAAGCTAGAATACATGTGATTTGGATCACCTCAAATTTACCCTCAAATATAATGAGTAAAGTTTTTTTGTACTAATAGGTCAGGCAATTGTAATCTAATACCAGCTTGTAATTTCATGCAAATAGTAGCAAATCAAGAAAACACTTGACAAAAACGTACCATAATTAAGATAAAGTTAAGACTATTTCTCTACAGTGAGGGGTAGTAAAAAATTTTGTTTACCTGCAGTATTTGATGTTACAGGCCTTGCAACAGCTTCTGGTTTGGTTTCACAGAGAAAGTCATCAATGGAGGGGCTCAGAAGGGGTCTGCTCTCTTGTTGCTCGTTCACCAGCTAGCAACAAAAAAACCCCAGGGTCACGGAGTGTTGTTGGGATGCAGAATTTAAAGAAATAAAATGTATTCTCACAATATCATGTGCTTTATTTTTGACTGTGAGAGAATAAGATTTGCAATTAAAAGATGTACAAATAGCTCTGGGCTTAAAATAAAAAACTGTAGTCACTCTTTCAGGGTAAAATTCTATCCCAGTTTTACAAATTGCACAAAAATAAAGCAGCAAGGTAATTTTTCCATAGCAACTATTGCACACTATTGCTTATAGGGCTAAAGTATACAAGGCCTGATGCGTTTCTCTTCAAATCAATGGGTGAAGTTGGCCGCCTCTGTCACCAGGAGACTAATCAGAGCTTTTTTAGCATTTGAAAATGGTCATTTTTTTTCCGAGGTAACATGCCTCCCCACAGAACTTGCACAATACCGTTTCATCTAGCAAATATGCATTAGCCCATTAAACAATAACCTGCTGAGACAGAAAACACTTCTCAAAGATGTATGAATGACAGTGGATGGAGCCTGGGGAATGTATGAACTTCCTGCATGAGTTTTGACTGTGTGAGGACTCATAATTATTTTAATTTAAAGTTTTTTTAAAGTTTTTATTCATGAGCAGTTTTCGGTTTTTATTGCAATTGCATGGACGCATTGTTTTTCTGCCACCTAAAAGACATCTCGATATTACAGGCTATTTCGTGTGTTAGGGATTAAAAAGACAAAACAGTAAAACAGTCTCATAAATAAAAGTCTCCTCTCTGCAATCTGTCTCTGATTGGAGGATCAAGACCTAAGCTGAGCTGGATGGATGTCTGATGGTGTGGCCTGCATTTACTTTACCTGTAATAATGTGAAAACATGTTTTCCCTCTGTCTGCTACTTTCACCTGGAGCTACTTCAGCTTTACTTTTATATTCTCTGCTCTTCTCGCTCTTTTTTCTGTTGTTGAACTTTCAACATTTTCTCTCAGACGTATTTGAACTTTTACATTTAGGATGCTAACATGGACTAAAACTGGCAAAAAAGGTATTTACTCATCCTCATTTGATATTTACTAATTACTGACATTTAGCTACTCCAGTAGCAAGGTTGCCTCTAAAGTTATTACAGCAAAACAGCTTATATTCACTGTTGTTTGGTACTGGATTTTTGTATTATAAAGTTGCAAGAAAATACCGGAGCTATTGAAATAAAAGGTCCTTTATTTAGATGAGTTAAGCATTTAAGCTGCTACCTGGTGCTGACTGACTGTGTATGTGAACTTACTCATTTGCCCAGGACCTTACAGTTTTGCACTGAAATACCAATTTACACGAGTAACATAGAAGACAGATGAGTGATTGCCTGCCCAACTGCGTGCAGCAGAGCGTGCAGATGCGAGCACTTCATTTAGAAATCTGGCAATGGTATCATCCCAAGCTCTAATTCTGCATACGCTAAACCCAGGCTGCAGATGCACCTTACAGGTGATTTAATCGTGTGGTCTTTTAACTCTCCAAATTCATTGCCCAGGTTGCTGTCTCATTCAACACACAGAAGTTACTTGCTTAATTTGATAAATCTCAACACTTGATTGGAAATTGCATTTATACCAGCTGCACACCTTTGATTTCCATTAAAGGTGGCTCTACATTACCCACGTTATCTCCAGGTGTATAATTTTACCTAATACTGATATTTAAGAGGACTTTATTTTTATGTTTATGATTAGGTGGCACTCCTTGCTCGTTTCTGTTGGTGAAAAAATGAAGGTGGGTGCTTAGTTGTGTAAATTGCTTTTAATATTTTAAAAATTTCTTTATGATCAAATCCAGGTACCAGCTAAAATTGCTTGAATATGTTTTTCTTTTTGCATTTACACATCCCATTCCAGGAACTAACATCAGTAACAGCTGCTGCATATTTGCAACAAGTTGCATATTTAAGTGAACATAGCATCCAGCAGAAAGATCGTCAAAGCCTCTGGATCAGCTGGATCTTCAATGATCTGTTCTGTGGTATATTAACAGCATAAAGAAAAATCCTACACGGTTTGGAGAGGAAGAGGAGGGAAAAAAGAAGAGGTTCTATAGGAATCACTGTAAAAGTAAAAAATTCATAGGAAATATTCTGCTGCTGTATCTATAAGAGTATATCAATAGGGTACATTATCACATAAGATTTGAATGCTTATCAAGTCTCCCGTTACATTCTATGGAAACTTTCTTTAACAGGAAAGAATGGGAGAAGGAGGGAATGAAGAAGGATTATGAGAACCTAGACAGCCAAGATCACTCACTGGAGATAGTGAAGAATAGAAAATCTGAAGACCAACTGGAAATGCAGTTTATTGCCCAAACCTGTTGCAGGGGTAAGAGGATAAACTCTGGGAAGAGCAGCAGTAGTGGAATCATGGAGGGGAAGGAGACTAGAATCAGAGATTTCAATTTCTCCAGGGTTCATGTGAAGTATGAAGTAGCAGATATCTGGCAAATACTTTTTTTTTCAAAGCTGGTTATCACATCCCCAGAAATTTCTTTATTATATTGTTTATATAAGGAAGGCCTGCTCAGCAACAGGCCTTCCTTAGTTTGATACCCGCAGTGTATTGTTCAAAGTCCCTTGTAAAATTCTACTATCAAACTGAAAGAAAATTGGTGGTAATATCCACTTCATCAATTTTACCAGCAAATACCAAGATTTAATTTTTACTAAGTCATGTCTTCTTTCTGCTGTGTTTGCAGCATTTATTTAATTAGAAAACAAATTGGTTCCTCTTCTCTGACTTTCTTATTTTGTGAACATATACACTAAATTCATCAGAGATGAGCCACCCAAATGATCAGAGGAATAAAAAGCACGATTTACCAGGAGACTAAAGGAGTTTGACTTGCTTAGGCTAACAAAATGAAGATTGAGTAGGAATGTAGTTATTCTTCATGTATACATAAAGAGAGAGTGGGTAGAGGACATTGGAGGAAGAAAGTTATTTCAGCTACAGAGAAAGGCTGGCACAACAACAGAGAGATCTAAACTGGCCATGAATAGATTTGGTCTGGGAATTAAAAGACTCTTTCTAACTATCACAGCAGTGAAGTGTATGAACAATATTTTTTTTAGAGTAGGGGGACAAAAAGCCTAGCTATTTAAAATGGCTTTTGGCAAGCTTTCTACATGGCTGTTTATGATGTGACTGCTTTTGAGAACTGGACTCTGGCCCAGAGAAACCCTCCCAGTCATGTGTCCTATGCTCCCATGACTAAGGACTGGAAGCTGTAGGAGTGTCTTATTAAAAGGATCGTTCCTGAGAAAAATAATCTGCTTTCAACTGAAATGTCTGGGTCAAAACAGATCGCAAATACATGACCAAGTCTACTAATTCTGAATAAATACAAACTACCTATGTATAGCAATAGAATATATTAGAAAAATATATTTTCATTGTAAAGCTGACATTTCATGATGAACCAGACCTCAGCAGGTTAAAGAGTGCCATGAGCGGATATTTTTGCTGTAGGTAAGTGAGCAGTGGGATAGGTTTCTGACATTACTGTGTATGCAGTGCTGCTTGGTAAGTCCTCAGTCTCACACTTTGAATTACGCTTTGCTGCCTCATATATTGTACCAAATTTATCCCTAGTTTAACTCTGCTCAAGTTATTAGAGTTATATCGGGCATGAATTTGGAGTAGTGCTATAAAACATTCATGAGATGAAAACTATTATCTATATTAAAGTAATAATTTATGGTTCTCAAGCACCTTTCAGGGTGAATATCACAGAATGCTTTAAAACATTCATGAATCAAGCCTGGCACCACTGCAGAGCTGAGAAGTATTATCTCTGCGTTGCAGATGAGAGAAGCAAAGTGGAATTAAGAAAGGTGCCCAACGTCACCCGGCGCTGGAGGAAGCGGCACAGTATTTATGTGTGCAATATTTGTACACACACCAAGTGATACAGACAGCCTGTGAAACTGTTGATTTCTGAGTACTAATTTAGCCAGTGAGTGCTATAAATTCTCATAACGTCTCTAAGAGCTTTATTTTTCTTGACAAAATCCATTTTAATGAAAGAAAAAAACCACACACAATCCTTTAACTGAAGGATATCTAAACTGTGGAGGGTGGTACTCCCTATTACTAATAAATCTGAAGAGATTATTCATCCATAGTATAAAATACTCCTTCCAGATTCAAATTAATTCTCTGACTGACTGACTTCTGCTGTTAGACAGCACCACAGAAAAAGGCGCTCTTCCTCACCCCAGTACTGCTATTGGAATTTTGTGTTTCAAAAAGCATTTTTCGGCTTTTTGGTGCTTTGAGAGAGATCCTGGGAGACTCGAAGGTGCCATCTGACGGCTGACATCATCCCAACTAGATTGAACGCACTGGGAGCGAGGATATTTAGCAGAGATCCGAGACACGGCGAGGGGCCTGTGCCAGGGCCCGCCCCGCGTCTGCCCTCCGCACGGGCTGCGTGCCCCGGGGCACTCACAGGGACCACCTGTCCCCATCTTCTGTCACCTGCCCTGTCTGCAGTTACTCAGCTGATGTGGTTTATTACCTCCAGCTGCCTTTGCTGCTGAATTTCCCTTTCCCCAGTGCTCTGCTCTGGTCAGTGGTCTCTGTGCTGCCTCCACAGCTGCCGTGAGAGGAGAAGGAGGGGGCAGTTCCCTCTCTGGGTGCTCCTCAGGCCTGAAGGGTAGGTGGGAGCTCAGTGGATCGCGCTGAAGCAACTGGTTTGGGGTCAAAAAAATCAAACCTCGAGCGGGTGTGGGTGCAGAGGGGTGGTGGGGAGGGACATGGCTGTGCAAGAGGGACTGTGGTGGCTCCCTGAAAGGGAGCAGTGGCCATGAGAGGGATTTCTTCCTTCTCCCAGTATCCAGCCTGGTCTCATCTTCCCTTTGTCATCCACCCAGCGCCTCTTCCTCTGTGCTGCAGGCACCCCTAAATCCTCCCAGGCCTTATTTTCTCCCCTTGTTCCCCCCGGAGTGCTCTTCCTGGTCAAATACGCTCCT